ATTGATCGTGCTGTCAAGAACCTGCAATTAAGCTAGTTGTCTTTCCAGCTATTTCATACCATCAATTACCTCTCTTGCTGGGCTAAGGGCAGGATGTTCCAGTGCAGAACATTTGCAAATAATGAGGTACAAGAAAACCTTTGGCATCAGCCGCTCTTGGAGACAGAATACCAGCAAGGTTTCTGGTAACCAGTTTTGTTTTTTGTCAGCCTTCTTGCGAAAGGTGGTGAAAAAGCCCTCCAATGAGCCCAGTGAAAAAAAAAAGAAAAAAAAATCCCTGCAAAAGCAAGGAAAGAAATGAGCAAGTGAAATACTACCAAATTTCTTGGGAATTTGAAAGGCTTAAATGTTTAATTGCCAAACAAACTGACCAAGGTTCGAGCCTACTGAAAAAGTTAAGGATTAGTATGGCATAATAGCAGGGGAAAACCATTTCTTTCAAATCATCTGAAATGAAACCCTTCACCTTTCTGTTTTGAAAGAGATTTTGGCAAGAAGCCACAAGGACAGAGATGTAATCTTGGCTCCACCTCTGAGGTATTGTGAGGCTCTCAGCAAATGTATTAAACTTATCAGCCTTTTCTTCCCTGTCTGTCAAGCAACTCTAATAAATCTTTTTTATTTTGCCTTGAGGCATCCCAAGGGTTTTAATTACAAGCTCAGATATAAAGGATAGTAACAGAGAGTAGCCATACAGCAGCTGTATTAATAAGGTATTTTTGCGGGATACTGGCTGCTGGTGCATTCATAGTCTGCCCACCAAGGCCAAACCTACCGCTGCTTCCAATTAAATGATTAACAAGTGTCCAGTTAACAGCCTTGTGGCTGAGCTTCCTATTTTCTAGGCTATTTATCGTCTTCTCCATGCAAGTCTCATTTTTCGATGCGTTCTACGCAATCAGAGCCAAAAACTTAATGAGAAGACACAGCTACGTTAATTTATTCTTCTAAAAGTTGGGCATCCAAGTCTGAGCTGGTCACTTTAGACCTTCTTGGACTCAACGAAGACGAGGAAGGCTCTCTGGAGAGCAGTATCTCGGACACGCCTGTCTCAGCACAGACCTAGAATCAAAAGTTAGAGGAGATGAGTCCTGGCCAGTAAATTACGGTCTTTAACTGAGGATGGTGTGTGGAGGGCTTTTTATAAAAAAGAAGTATTTTGCACAGCAAGGAAATTTGGGTGTCCGGTCCACGCTACGGTTCCCAGCTTCCAAGTACTGGGCTGCCTTTGGCTGTGCTTCATGGACTCATACTGTCCTTTGTGAAGGGAGTGACTACGAAAAGAACAGATACTGCAAAAATCACTTATAATTTGCTGTTCAACAGAACATTCCTTTACAGATTGTCCTTGACAGAGGAAGGTACTCTTAAGGCCATTTGCTAAACTGTAATTAATGTAAGGAAGGAGGACAACCTAAACCAAAAGAAGAATCCTCACAAAGCCCAGCCCAAGGGATCCTCCAAGCTGAGTATGCAAGCAAAGTGATTTAAAACCAGTAAAATTCCACAGGATTTCACAAATGTTCAGTGTTATGCATTGTTTTGCATATTTAAACCTATGAATTGCTGCCAGGCAAGGCAAACCCCAAGAAAACCCCAAATTATTCATCTGCATCAACCAAGCCCCACTTCTGAGATGTGTATAAAGGAGGAGCTCAGGGTTGTCGGAGCAGAGGGGCACCTTTTTGAGTTGCATGCTCTGCTGTCCTCCAGCATCCTCTCCTCCATCACATCTGCCAGCATGAGCCAGGAGCTGTCAGCTGGAAGGTCTCTTCATGGAAGAAAGTTCTTCTCATCATCTTCTGCTGTGAGTGGCATGAGCCACTGCCGAAGCAGCGCCTTCCCCTCTGCTGCACTATTTGGAAGAGGATATGGAGCCTGGAGTCACAGCAGCCAATGCCTCCAAAACACAGATGGGTGTAAACGGGTTTCTTCTGGCCGAAGCCTCGCACATGGGGTCTGTGGAGGCTGGAGGTGCAGGGGGCATCCATGCCAACAGTGAAGATGGGAGTCGCGGGTTAGGCTTCCACAGCAGGAGCTGCAAAAGTGAAGGTATTCGTGCGGTGCATGTCAACGAGAGCCTGCTGCAGCCTCTTGATGTGAAGATCGACCCCGAAATCCAGCATATCCGAAAGCAGGAGAGAGAGCAGATGAAGAGCCTCAACAACCAGTTTGCCTCTTTGATTGACAAGGTGAGAGCTGAGGCAAGACTTAAAGGAATGATGAGGTTTAAGTGTGAAGGAAACCATCTTTTTGTGCTCAGGTCTTTGATTCCTTTCTTTCTCTCACCCTATTACAAGAGCCTTGTGCTGGTTTTAGCATGCATGGCTCTAGTACCACGAACTACAAGTGCAGATCTAGCTGATAATGTTATTTTAATCTGGCTATTTATGTGCTTTAATAAGCTGCATCTGTTTTTATTATTAATAGCAGAAGGGAGCTGTTCCTCCAAGGTATCTTACTGAGCTTCTGCACTGTTGACTTCTCTTTGTGCAGCTAGACCTCATAAAGTTGCATTGTCTCCTATCGATAAATGATGGTTTTCACTATCAGCCAATTGATATGCAGATCTATTTAAATATTCCATTGTTTCTGTAGCTGCCACAAAGGCGGTGCTGTCTAGGGCCTCCTTGGAAAACACGAGAGCATCACACGCAGTATACTCTAGAATTCTTGGATTACGAAGGTCACAATGTCCCTCTTTTGTCCTCTTGTCCCCTTCAAACCATAACGAGCCCCTGGAGCATTGACTCAGAAGAAAAGATGCCTTGTTCGCCCCACATACATCTGGTCCCCATACAACGCATCTAGGCATGTGCCTGAAGAAGGTGGCTTTGCTTTCTGAACGCAGGTACAGCATCTGGAGCAGCAGAACAGGGTGTTGGCCACCAAATGGGACCTCCTCCAAAAGCAGGTCCTGCCATCCCAGAAGAACATCAAGCATGTCTTCGACAACTTCATTTGCAGCCTGCAGAGGCAGCTGGACTCACTGTTGCACGAGAGGGAGCGGGTGGAGCCTGAGCTGAACAACACGGAGAAGCTCGTTGAAGAGTTCAGATGCAAGTGAGTGAGCAGAAACCACCCACGGGGCAGTGGGCTCAAACAGCTTGCCTAATGGGACCGTTATTTTTGTCCGTATCAATAGACTTCTCTCCAAGGTCCAAAAAGCTGAGATCCAAAAGCACCCTGACCCCTAAATACCCAGACAAACAAGGTCTCCAGTCTCAGAATGACCCGGCAACCAGTCTCTTCTCTTCCCTAACAGATACGAGCAGGAAGTGAACAGATGCACAGCTGCCGAGAACGAGTTTGTGTTCCTGAAGAAGGTAAAGAATTTGGATGAATGGAAGGGTGGGATGCGGAGATCCAAGGAGTTTCCTCTGATCTGCTCCTTGCAAGGCAAGGGTCAGGTCTTGAGAATGTTAAAAGTCATTGGACAGGAATAGATGGAGAAAAACCTGTCACCGAGTATTGCCAGAGAGCATTAAACCTCTGCCCTTTAGCACAGAAAATATATTTCATTCTAAACTGACAGCTTGCTAGTCCTAATGCCCAAATCATGATGTTTTTCAAACAAGAACTCAGTGATATTGAACATGCTTTTGGGACCCCTCCACTGTTGCTGTTCAGGGGATATCTGAGCTCCCCAATTACATTTCCTAAACAAAATTTCTTACTCTAAAAATGTAATGAAACTGCCTTAGGTCTCCGTGTAGGCACTATTTTGACTTCTAAATGCCTCTTTTAGGATGCGGACTGTGTCTATCTGACCAAGGCAGAGCTGGAAGCAAAGCTGGAAACCCTAAAGCAGGAGACAGAGTTTCTGAAATGTGTTTCTGCTCAGGTATGGATGCTCCTGTCCCAACCTTGCTTGGTGGCAGCTATTCTTACCAGCCGCTCCTTGTCTACATTGATTCAGGCCTGATTCAACCAACCTATCAAGCTCTCTCCCATCTCTCCTATTGGGAGGCAATGGGAATTCCAGATAAGGAAGACTTTGAGATCTCAAAAAACCCCCCCTGAAGCTGCATGCGTGACCAAAACTAATCTCAGCTCCTGGGTTGTGGCTCAGGACAAACTCTCAGTGGTGGTTACTTCCACTGGAGTGTGAAATAAGAAATCCAGGGACAGCTTACTGCCACTTCACATGGCTTCTAGGAAACCGCTGAGCTGGAGAGAAGTCCCTGTGACACCTCTGTCGTTGTGAAAATGGACAACAGCCGAGGCCTGGACATGGAGGGCATCCTCAGCAGCGTTGAGTGCTGGTATGAGGACACAGCTCAGAAAAGCAAGGCAGAACTGGATGCATTTTACAGAACTAGGGTAAGTTGTAGCATCCAGAGACATATCCTTAATCCTCTCACTGTCAAAAGTAGTAGTGGAAAGGCGGTGATTTTTTCTTTCTGTCTTCACTGTGTCACTTCTGGACCTAATTTTCCATTCTGCTAAACTGGATGGGGTCTCAAAGTCAGGAGAACATCCCCAAAACAGATACAGTGCAATGGGACAGGACTCGGTCATGCTGGGAACGGGGAGGTTGCACAGTGAAAGCTGCAGGAGGAAAGGTCCATTTGCTGCTGAAAGTCTCAGGAGCTGCGAAGTCAGGAGGACTTTTCTAAAGCTAGTTTAATCCACTTTGGAAACAGAAGCAAGGCTCCTATGTTACACACACTGCCTGTTTTAATTGCCACCTCTCTCTTTTCCTACAATCAGTATCAAGAGCTTGAGGAGGCAAAGGGGAGACATTGCGATGAACTGAAGTCCCACCAGCAAGAGATTGAAGAGCTGAGTTTTGTGATCCAGAGAACGCAGTGTGACCTTGAAAATATGAAGAAGCAGGTATGATGGATCATATTTACTCAGTCGATTTCCTAGATGTGAGACCCCAAGTCATGTTTTCTACATCTCCGTGGCATTTCTTTTGTCTTTATCAAAGAGCATCATCTCACATGGGTTCCATTGGCCTAGAGAAGATCTTACCGGTGCCGAGCAGGGAAGAACTATCTGCTGGCCTATTTTCTGCTGGATTATTTTGATTATTGCAAAGAACTAATTGTGCCAAATTAGATTGTTGGATTAGCTACAGCCACTTGGAAAATTGCTAAAATTGCTCCAGCAAGAATTCTGGCAGGAGACAATGCTTCTGACATAAGTTCAAAGCATCCAATAAGTAGGTAGAATTATGACTCACCAGTAATTCAGCACCCAAAGAAACTGGTATAATTTTCAGACCATCTAATTCATTACATAGTTTATAACGGGAAGTAATGGAAAACCTTAATTATTAGTTCCTATTAGAACAAAGTATTGGTATCCTCGAAACAAGGCTTAAAAACAGTCTGGCAGTACAGGGACATGTCCAGCCTTTCTGTAGCATTTCAGAATTGATATGTGATTTTGGAAACATTTGGCTTTCCTAAAAGCAACCTCAATACTTCCCAATTCGGGACTCTCAAAAGAAGCGAGAATTTCTCTTTCAAAGGTGAGTATGGCAAGAAAAGGTCAGGGAAAGAAAAAAAAGCTGTACCCTGAGAGGTGTCCTCTCTGCAAACATCAGTTTGTGATACTGAGCAGCGTGGGGACTGTGCCCTGAAAGATGCCCGGGAGAAGCACGTTGAGCTGCAGAATGCCCTGCAGAAGGCCAAGGATGAGCTGGCTTGCATGCTGCGGGATTACCAGGAGCTGCTGAATGCCAAGCTGGCCCTGGATATTGAGATCGCAACATATAAGACTCTGCTGGAGGGTGAAGAGAGCAGGTGGGTACCACTACAAGCATGTGTGGGCAGTGTTCGGTCCTCGGGACTCTTCAACAGAGACCAGGAGGCTGGAAAATGCTGGAAATGCTAGTTAGGTGATGGATAACCTTGTGACCTTCTTCTCCTTCAGGATACGCCTTGGGAGCCCTGTGAGAGTGTGTAAGTAAGCTCAAGGTTGTCTATTTTCCTTACAACATTAAGCAATCTAGTTCTGGTTTGCAGGGGGAGGATGAAGACTGCATCCTCCCCATGAGTGATTCAGCTCGTCTTTTCCCATGACAGTGACCACCACCCCTTGCAACACCATCTCTGGCTGCGAAGCCGACCTGGGATACGGGTCTGCTAGACAGCCCAGAAGATGCAGGTCCTCCTGTAGAGCATCCCTACCCGAAGAAGCTGGTGCCTGCCACAGAGGATTCACCTCCAGAGGTGTTGCCGGCTCTGTAGGCAGGCAGTATATCCCTGGTGCTCCCAACTGCATCCCTAGGAGTGAAGAATTTAGGGCCGGAGGTGGGGGCCGTTCGTGCCAGGGCTCAGCCCCTCTGGGCACCGGCGGACTCTGCAGTAGGACTGCAGGGAGGTGTGGAGAGAGCTGCAGAGCTGCAAAGGGCGTGGGGAACTCAGCTCACCCACAAGGGATGTGCTGGCCAGGGGTGAGGATTTCAGCTGGACCCCATGCCCCAGGAACACCCGGACCTAAACTTCAGCTGCGAGAGTCAGGACAACCAGGATGGAAGACCTAAAGTAGAAAAATGAAAGCTCTGTTCCACTTTCAGTGGTAAAAATATCCTCAACTCCACCTTCCACACGAGGATGAGGCATACTGGGTACAAGCACGTTGTAGCATCATGAAACCACATCAGAGAAACTCCAACTGGGATCACATCAAAAAAGGGACACATAAACCATACTCCTTTTGATTTCTGCTGTTTCTTTAAAGGGCTGGTGTTGTCTTGGGGCACTTATCTTCTTATCGCTCAACTTCTGCTTCCCCCCAGCCGCCTTCTTTTTCCTGATTAAGCCTTTGCTATCTATGAAACAACGATATTTAATTCAGAATCCTTTCCCTAGAGTGCTCTGGGAAGTGTTTCTGGAAATGAGCTCTCTAGGACTCACCATTTCATCAAAGTCTATCTGACGTAATTTTAGACAAGTCGGTGGTGCTGCAGTGGTGAGACACGCGGGGTCACGGAGAGGAGGGGCAGGACTCCAGCGATGTTCTTTGTTCGTTGTCTTGGAGCAGTTTAGTCATCCATATCCAGTCATAAAGGAAATCTCAATTCAAAAAAACACATTTCACCTTCTGTAGTCATCAAAGAGTAATTATGTCACTTGTACTCCTATTAGCTTCCTTGCTTAGTGTCCTGACATATGCATAAATTACAGCACCCTCACTTCTATCCTGATGACTCAAGACCTTTACACTTTTTGTTCTTTTTCCAATAAAGTCCAATAATGTGTTGCCGCTTGGGTTTTAGTATTTCCGAAGAACACAGAAAGGCCCTATTCCTAATTGGACAAGACGTATCTGCTGATTAGAAGTTAATTAAGCAGAGGAGCAGGGCTGCCCAGAGAGTGTCATACAGATCCAGTCTTTGGTTGGTGTAAATTATGGAAGCCTTTAAAAGTCAGCTTATTTATGCTGATTTGCACCAAATTTGACTCTTACCCAATGCTATTCAATGGGTGTTTTAAGATTCACAGAGAAGTCATCTCAGTCTCTTTGCATTTTTATAGCGTGTCTACCACAGAGGTGTGACAATAAAACACATTTTATACCTCTTCAAAATCTGCTGCAATAGGGTCATTATAGGAAAAAAATCAGGAATGTGCTTGGCGGCTTTTTTCAGCATCACTTTAGAAATCCTATAACTACCAGTTTAGGATTTTAAAACAGATCAAAAGGGAATATTTTATCGTACATTTGAGCAGATTAAAAAAAAGAAGCCAACAAATTAGGAACATAAATCAACCACAAAGGACTGAAGTGTTTTGCGATTAAACTGATGAAAGCCAACGAGCAGAACAAAGAAATGAACCATATAGAGGCAAGTTGGACAGATATATGTTTTACAAAAGGGGGGATCCAAAGGGAAGGTCTTTCCTATCCGAAGCAATTATCGTGATTCAGAACTGGAAGAGCTTTCTCTCCCCCCCATAATTCTCCTGTGATAGGAAGCTATTTCCCAATCAAATATGAGGAGCGCAAAAGAAAACAGTCACAATCTTTAATGAAGAAAACCACAAGAAAGATTTGACAAGAAAAGAACCATCGAGCAGCCATAAATATTCATTAAGAGGGGTTTACGTCTCATAAAGGTTATGGTGTTTCCATTGAAAACAGACGATCTTCTCGCTTTTTATGCAAGAGACAGGGAAATGACACAGAATTAATGTTGCTTTCTCACCTCCAACCCCCCCGCCACCATTTCCAGATCTGATAAGTTAATTTAGCAAATGCTTTACTTTAAACCTGTGACCAGCCTCTCTGAACACCAGCGCTTCATGAATCAGCCAGGCGTTTCATCAGACATTCAGCAGCACACCACAAAGCTGCACAAATCAAATCAAACGCGGGCTTGGGCATAACAAAAGGAAGAACTTATCTCCTGCCGGCTGAATGTGCTTCCCAGGAGGACCTGACCCAGCTTCCATGGGCAATTCCTTCTGTATGGCTCAGAGAATCTCTTCTGCCCAAGAAACCAGCTTCAACTGGAAGGGACAAGAGCTCCTGTAGATTTATAGGGAAGTTGCTGTAACCTAATAGCAGCTGCTACTTTTTTTTCCCCTTTCCTCATCTTTTTGCTTTAACAGGCAGTGCAATGCCATTCCACCAGGGGCCTGGATTCCCATACATCCCACATTCATTTCCACTGTGCAATTCTGTGGGAGGAAGACATCAACATGAAAAAGATCAAAACAATCCTTTGCTTTGTTGCAAGCCTCAGCTTTACAGGCGCTAATCACCGCACGGAGATATGATATATGCATACATCAGGAACTGAGGAAATCTGGAGAGCATGTGAAGTTGTGTACTCTCATTAAGACTTCAAAGGTGCTAAAGAAATCTGGCGCCCAAAGGGTGGGACTAATTTCACCTAACTTTAACCATCCAGAAGTGGGGCGCCTGGTCTAGTTGTCTGGTTGTCTAGACTGCCTCTGGTAGTCAATAAGAGGAGAGGTAAGTACCTCCAGAGGTGGATTCCTCCCACCTGTCTTAGCTGCCTATTTTAGGATGCGATGAATCACCGTCTGGAGATGCCTATCTCTTTCCATTAGCCATAGACGGAGTCTCAAAGATGAAATTAGAATACGTGGCTAGTTTGGTGGCTGAAGTAGGGAGGAAGGTGCACCCAGGCCCAGTGTTTGATGAATTTTACGAGGAACATCCTTTGAAAATCCCAGCCTTGACTTCTAACATAGAGCAGATGTAGGCTAATGAGAGGAGAAAATACATTACCAGATTGAATTCCCTTGGACAGCTTTGGCTTTATGATACAAGGGAATGAGGCTGCACTAATCAAATAAATTCTTTAACATCTCATGAATGACACGGACAAGAGTCTATACAGTCTGTGAAACTGTGTGTATAAAAATACATGTTACGACACAATCTTACGTCTATCAAATGCTGTTAGCACAGGCAGGTTATTGCCATTGTCCTATCTGAATGCAATGAGTTTTCTATGGCTGCGGATAATTACAGAGATGGAGCATGGCTCTTTGAGACTATCGCATAAAACATATTTTAAGAACTAGTTCAGATTCATCTCCAGAGGCAACAAACAAATTAGTGAACTTCACATGTTCTTATAATGAATTCCACTTTCAGCAGCACATTCAGGGAGAAGAATGCTGACAAAGGGAGAGATTGCAAGTTGTCAAAATGACTCATTCAACCCCTCGTCAAAATATTTGCCTTTTTTGCTTCCTCAGTCCTTCCCCTCCTTTTTTTTGAGTCAAAAAGATGCAATTTTTGCTTCAGACTATTCTCCCACTTCCCATGTCCATACTCACAATAACGAATTGTTGATTCCTGAGATCTTAGGTATGAACAGGCAGAACACTCGTTGTTCCTTGGAAAGACCTAAAAGACATTAAGCGAGCCTTCTGCATAGCTGCCTTCTCACTGGGATTCAGGAGCAACAACAGGGATTTGGCTAACGCAGCAATTTTACCCAATACTGGGCAACTTATGCCCAAAATCTCTTACCTATAAGGAAGCCAGTGGCTCTGGCGAGGCGTTTTGGAACTGGGGCTGCTGCAGCAGAGTTGGTTCACAGACGTTTAATTGCAGTCTATGATACGTTCCAGGTGTCTCCCACACAGCCGACGTGTATAATGGGGTGCAGAAAGGGAGCAGTGGCACACCAGCCTTCAGTCTGACTTCTGGTCCAGGATGCAGTTTTCCTACACAGAGCTCATAACAATTGGCTTTTGTACTCTTCTTTGGATTCAAATATGCATTTCGCTTCTGATAAATCTTTGTTTAGAACTTAAGGGATCTGGGAAGTTGCAAGCTTTAGCTTGAAGTCTCTAATATTTGTTTTAACTGATATTGCCAATTGTGCTGGCAACCCAGTACAAACTGTGAGCCTAAAATACTATAAACAAAGGTGTAATCTGAAAGTCATGCTGTAAATACGTTGAATTATCCCACTTGTATAGGGCAAAAGTATCAGTTTACGCAACTAATTTATACCACCAGCCCCTCAAACTCACACAAGTTGCAATTACACGTTCAATTAATAGCCTTGTGAATCTCGGTGCTGCAGTCACGTCCTATGGTGTCGGTGTGCATGTCTTCTTTTTAAGAACTTGATATTAGAAGGTTTCATGTTTTAAGGAGGTTTAGCATTGTTTTTATGATTTGCACTGCCTGATCCTAACTCTTGGAAAATGTTTTCGGAGGGGGTTAATGAGGATGAGGGAACACAGTTACCGGGTGTCTCCAGATACCATCACGTTGTATGTATAACATGCAGACTTCTCCAAGCGTCACTCCCCTTCAGTTAGGAAGGGCTGAGGGCATTTAGTTGTTTGCACTATAATGTCTCTTTTTCTCCCAAACACTTTATTCTCAAAGAGCTGAAAGAGCCCTATTGTTTTGACTTTCCAAATGTCAGTTTGGAGAAGGCCCCGAGATGGTTGGCAGATCGGTTCACTC